TTTGTAACGTCAGACTTCGTAAGTTATTGCTGTTAAAGTCGTCGTAGCATGATAGCAGAAAATAGCATGGGAGATGCCACGGAACTGAGGATGCGTCTTTACGTACAGTTTGGCATATAAGCAGTGGCAAGCCCACACCTCCTCTGCTCACTGACGAATTGCTCCCTGATCCTTTCATGATGCCGAGGGAAACTGTTAATTGACGGTAGACTTGGTAGTGACGGCTGGGGGTTCAATCCCTCCCACCCTCCTAAGAAATTTATTTTTCCCCGAACATCCAGCCTGAACCGTTCAAGTTGTAAGTCGTGACATCTTATTACATTGTCTAGCACTATCGAAACTTTTTTGTTTTTTTATCAACACTGTAAGCACCCATGGCACAGTTGTAGTCGGGTCGCCCCTCACTTTGGAATGGATACTTACACCGCATTTGCCTGGTGAGACTGATCTCCCCTGCCTCCCACCATGGTCGTGGATTACTTCCATTTCCCAGGCTTGCTTTCTAGCCCGGGACTTTGCTTCCTCGTAGTCAGTTTTTACAAAACCAAAGTTTTGCCTGTTTTTAGATGAGTTTGGGGGGGGGGGGGGGGGGGGGGAGAGGCAGTAACAAAACGTGTACATGGGCTCCACTTAAACCAGAAAAGCAGCACAGATTTCTACCATGGAATCACAGCCTCTATTTCCTTACTTCAGCTCACAGAAAATGCCAAAGCCTGTCCAACACTGAACTGACTTAACTGTGTGAGAAGACGACTTTATTTTTTTGGGCCTCATTATTCAGTTTCAAGTGCTGAAGCTTTCCATTGTGCCATGTTTTCTTAGTTGCGCACTTGAGTGTTTCCCAGTGCGGTGCAGCTTTGAATCTTCTTGGGAGCCTGAGTACCACCAAAAAGTAAATACTTACAGTCAGGTAAAGCTAGAAATGTTCCATGGCTGGTCATTTTCAAATGAAAGTAAACCATAAAATAAATGCTGCCTTTCCCCTGAAAGCAACCAAAAAGATATAATTTGAAATAAATCAAAGCTCCATTTTACTTTCTTAATATACCACAAGACTGACAAAATCGCTGTGAGCTAAAAGCACCAGTCAACTGTCCCATTTCTGAGCCTCCGAGTCTTTTATCTTGCTCCAGTGCCGTACGCAATCATGTTCAGAGCTTCGCTGGGTCGCGCAGGTCCAGCGAGATGGCCTCTGTCTCGTCTGCACAGTGCTGGTGTGTGGTAAATCAGCCACACGCTAACGGGGAGAACGGGGAACGCGGAAAATCCGCTCTGACCCTGCATGTTGGTGGAGCTTCTGAGATAACTCAGGTTTCGGTAACTGAAACCAGCACAGACAGCTTAACATCACATAAAACACTGGCCTACTTTAGCGAGTATCACTGCTGGCTGACTCATTTAAGTAGCCGTAGCGCTCTTACAATTTTACCTTCATTAACTGAAGTAGTTAATGCTTGCAGCTTTGGCCACAAAGTGTGTATGTAAGGCTTGAAGTCCCATGGGTTTGATTGCATAAGAAACCATGTCTTGGCATTTAGTTGATCAAGCACTACTTCTTGTGGTCACATGAAGGTTTGATTTCCCCTTGCATCAGCTACAACGGACCTTTTACATTTTTTGTACTTGTGTCTGACTGTTCAATTCGCAAGGGTCATCCCCTTCACCCCACACTGAGAGCCTGCGCTGCTCTCCCAGGTCCCGAGCTCATAGGAACCTTTTCTTTTTTTTTGTAGAATCATTATCTGAGAAACCGGGAGCTTGCAATTCTTCTCATTTGTGTCTGTGCGTAACAGGTGTCATTTTCAGTGTAGTACAGACAAATCCCAAAATAGCTCAGGCTCTTCAGACGCTGCGAAGAGAAAAAATAGTGGTTACTTCAGCTTTGGTTGTAGTGAAAAACCCAAAGCTTGCAGCCAGCTCTGAAGTCTGGAATTAAAATGGCAGATGTAGCCGTGTAGTAGTGATCTCTCCCTTGATTCTGTTTTTCAAATGGACTGCTGGCTCTCTCGCTCGCTCTTTTGTATATGCAGACTGACGCATGAACTCCCTCATACAGCGCTGGCTTTCCATTAGCTTCTCTTTGACTCCCAGATGCTGTATCTACCGCCGATCCACCTCCACATTTTCTGGTTTTGAGGCTCCAAGACGGGAGAGCACCGCTTCCCCTGCCTGGTGCTGAAGTTGACTGAAGGCACCAGAGTTAATGCAAGGGGGCAGAGGCAAGGAGAGAGTGTCCATCTGCAAAATTTCTCTTGCCTGGTGGTGCCTGCTGTGCTGAAATACATAGCTGTTTGTGGACTTTCTTTGACAGAGATTTTTTGGATTCTGGTGGCTCCAGGAATGCAGTTATTAGTTCCCCTGCCTACACTGAGCATTCTGAATCTGTGTGTGTGAGAACACTTATTAATACTGTTCAGATTAAGAAGAGCCTATAGCTTTTTAGCACTTTCAGTACCTTGTCTTACACCATGCACCTGCCCAGTGGCTGAACCAAATTCAGATCAATGTCTTGCGGCCAGCATAGCAGGGTCTTGTGGGTCCAGCAGTAGCCTCATGCTTTTATGCCCCAAAGACCTGTGTTCGTTCACAGGAGCAGTTCCTTTTAAGTTGCCTTGTGCTTCAGGGTAACTGCCTGCTGAGTATTTGCAAGATGTAGGCCTAAAATATTTTATTTTAGGAAGTCAAGTAGTGGTTCCTGTCACCGAAACAGTTAATCAAAAAGCACTAACTCTCTACTGGAACGTGTGTGTGTGCGCGCGTGTGTGTTTTTGTTTTTTAGAGCCAAGAAGATTTGCTTTGGTTTTTTTAAAGCAGAAACCACCACAAAGTTGGCTGTGGTTTCAGCTGCGCTTGTTCGAGATTTTTATTGCTGACTACCAATCCTAAAAGAGTTAACCTAGTAAGTATGACTCAGAAGCAGAGAAGGAGATGCGAGGCTGAGAGCCTTGGAGGAAGCACAGAAACAGAGGTGAGGAACATAATAATTACCAAAAAAAGGTGCAGAGTCCAGGAGCGACGTTCCCCTCGGTTTGCCTGGCCCTGGCACCGCTGGCACGGGCTCCCTGGAAAGCTGCAGTTCCGCTCTTATAACACAGGGAGCAGGCTGGAGAATTTAGAGCTGCGTCACAGAGCTCAGCGAGAGAGTGAGAGAGCAAGCTCCGTCGATAGGTCTACCAGCAACAGCCCTGCTGCAGCAAGAGGGGAGAGAGGCAGCAAGAGAGGCAGAGAGGGCTCCAGAAAGAGAAGTAACACCAACACCAGGGAGTGGGCTCCTGCCACCATCCAGTGTCATTTAAAGATCGTATTTGGGCTTAGTTGGCATAGGAGGCTTCGCCCATTGACGATGCTGGAGACCCGGCGCGCTTAATCCCGCGGGGAGGGAGAGTGGGCAGACAGCGAAAGGGTTAACGGAAAGGAAATTTCTGGAACCTTCTATTCTGCGGCGCTACACAGCGAGCAGAGGGCTGAGGACTGCGCAGATGGTGCACGGGCAGAGCTCTTCGGTCCGGTTCGTCTTTCCCACGTACGTACCCTTTGATCAGGATGGGGCTTGAGCTGCATCTACCTATTTTAATTATTTGCAGGGCGTCCCTTTCCCCCGGCGTCCCCAAGTTCGGATCCCAGAGTGCCTTTATTATTATTTTGGCTGGGTATGATTGCTCTGTTCTGCGTCAGAGCTGTTTTCTCAATGGAACGACGGCACAGGTTGTACTAATGTCACTCTTGCCGGCATTGCTGTACTGCAGAGGAGGGTAGTAGTCGTGGGGGAGAGATGACAACTTTGCAAAGACTGCTGTTTTCATGTTTTGTTTGGGCTTTTTATTCCCCCGTCTCCCTAAAGGCTGGCATGTTGGCGAGGGTTTGGTGGAGGGGTTAACAGGCGCTCTGCGTTTCAGAGCTTGGAGGTTTGTCACTGCGTAGTTCGGAAAGTGGTAAACGGTGACGCAGTGATCATTGCAGGGCATGTCGTCCAGTTTTTAAAAGCACCGGGGACAGGTAGACGGTGCCTTCCAGACGCTTCCACACCAGCTGAAAGGGGTTAAGGATGAGTCGAGACGGGAAGCTAGCATTTAGGGATTAAATGTCATCATTTTGGCGTTGGAAAGTTGTTTACCTTGCTCTCTCCGTGTCTCCATGTTGGCAGCCTTCCAGCTCACATGTGATAGTCTTCCCTGTACTGCTGCATCATTAACTAAGTGGCAGAGCTGGCTCCCCATTGGCCGGGGAGGGCTCTCAGCCCAAAGGCGCCGTCCGATTGGCGGAGGAGGTGATGGCAGGTGAAAAGCCCTCCCGGATTGGTCGAGGACTGGGTGTCAAATCTCAACGTTGATTTCACTTGCTTCAAAGTGCCGGCAGCTCCCTGCCCGCTCCCTGCCCGCCGCCGCGGCTCCCGGGGGCCGCTGGGTGCCCCTCGGGCAGGGGCAGCAGGCAGGAAAGAAGCCGTTAACTCCTCGGTGCGGCGGGCGCCGGACCCCGCACCCATGGGTGCCCCGGGCGGGTGCCGGGGAGGTTTCGTTTCGCCGTGCCGTGGTGACGATGACGTGTCAGAGCTGCAAACCACGGGGAAGGGGAAAGTACTGGGGTTTGGGGCTTTTCTCCTCGCTTGCTTGCTTTCCTCCTTCTCCCTTATAAGGTGGTTAAGTGTTAGCAGGACTGTGAACTGCTTGGGGCAGGGATTGCACCTGGAAATCATGTCGTGGGAATAATTAAAGAAGCGAAAAAGACTCTTGCCCAAACTCAGCTTTTGTTTGCATAAGGGTGAGCTTGCCACAGGCTAGGTAACATCAAGACAGCCCTAAGTGACGCGTCTGTAAAGGTTTGCAAAAGAAATAACAGCGTTAGAAAGCAGGGATTGAAGGAGGATTGGGAAGGACTGGGTAAGGATAAATGGGAGACTGAGGGCAGAGAGCAGCTCCAGAGAGAGCATGAGGAAATGAAGGGGAGAACATTTTTCTCTCTTAACCATTTACTATACTATTTTTTCACCTCTCTTCTTAAAGCGACCAGCAATGAAGATGGCAACTCTGCCTGGAAGTGCTGAGGACACAACCAGCTTTGGGCTTGGTCCTTCTGGCCGAGGAAGTCTCCCGATTATGCAGTGGAGTGGTAACTTTGCTTTCTCATACAGCAGGGAACATTATTCCATAGCCTTTCATCATATCGAGGCTTAAACAAGTTTAAGGATATGGTAGCATAAGCATTTAATCTGTATTACTCACTTGCTGACATCTCAAGCGTCAGGTCCGGTTGTTTAGCAACAACCGCTGGGTTCAGAACCGGCTCAAACATACTGCGTCCGCCGTCTCCATTACTTCAGCAGCAGCCTGTCCTCTGAACGGCAGTCTGAGAGAGAGGGAGAGAAAGAAGGGCTGTATTTACACACAGACACCCACCCCGACCGAATTTCGGTTGTTTGGTTACAAAGGCCGTACGCGCTGCGGTTTTATCCCCGACTCCATTCCTTTGCGCAGTACCGTAGAGGGGAGGATGCCATTTCCAACGGCAGTGCGGTGGTAGGAACAGGGGGGGAAGAAGAAAACAGACAGTAGGTGCCACTCCCCACTTTTTTTCCTCTTTCCCATCTCCACCTTTCTTGCCTCCCCTCGTTTTCTGCCAGATTCCATAGGGAATTTCAGACTCTTACTGCAGTCGTCACAACCCCTCCTGACTCACTGAGCCTTCGCTGGCTGTAGCTGGCTCCCTTGGAGCATCCTCGCCTCCTGCAGCGCCAGTTCCGCAGAGCAGGGGAACAACAGGAATAGCAGCAACAACGGTGGTCCCTGCAGCAAGCTGGACAGGCATAAATACACACACATATAGGAACAGTACAAGGCAGCCGCGGAGGTAATTCTGTACAGCCAGGAGCTGGACTAAGAAACGATGCTCGGTTGCATGGAAGACGGGTGGGTTGAGTCTGTTTTACTGAGTGCTGTCTGAACGGACAACCCTTTGCATTTTTCCCCATCGCAGCTGTGGGGTGGAGGACCCCATTAATTTGCGAAGCTCGTGCTTCTTCATGGCATTTCTCAGTCCTTTGGAAGGAGGTGCAACTGGCAGCCGGTATACTTGCTCAGGCATATGCGTACTTTTTGAGTATCTGTGTTCGGCGTAGGGATGCATTTGTTGTTAGTCCTTTTGCTACCATCTTTTTGCCACAGTGATAGTTTGATTGTGGCTAACTGCAGGGAGGGTAAGGAGAGAGAGATAAAAGAGGAGTTATTTCAATGTTAAACTTCAGCTGTAAATCTCATTACTCAGGAATTGAGGTTACTGTCAGCAGGTAAATCTGTGGGACTGGCAAGAAACAAGGCTAAGAAGGGGACACGGCATATTTCTGTAGGACGGTAGCGATTTTGCGCATAGGGATGGTATTGTTACTGTATGTTAGCTGTACATGGCTAACTGTTCCATAATGGTGTTCTGCGTATTGCCACAAAAGGACTTGGGCAAGCTGTGATTTCTTCCTCCCTCTGACACTTGTGTGTGTGACATTGTGTCAGCTGATTCATTTTTGTGTCTTTTGGTTTCCTTCCTTTGTAAAGTGGGGTTTATGATATCTCTCAGCCTTAGTGCGGCATTATGACGCAGTGTTCATTAATGCGTTGGGTCTGTTGGCAAAATACATGCAATTTTCTTGGGAGTTTTGACTGATCAAGGACTACAAAATTTGGTAAAGGAAGTTAGGGATTGCAAATGCTCACGACATAAATTTAAAAGCATTACTGTCTTACTCTTCTTTGATATCGAAGGAAGGCTCTCTGACTGATGAGACAGCCACGATCTCTTTCTGCACTTGTTTTGCCGATGGTCATGTTACATCTGTGACGCAGTCCAATTTTGCTGTTGGTTCCTGCCTGTGCTTTACGGAGTTCAGCTGATGAGGGCACAAGCTTGAATACGGTTAGGAACATTAATTTAATATTGATGTTGAAGTTTGCAACCATACCTGAAGTGGTAGGGATATCGGCATCCACCTATTTCACCACCCACAAACGGTGAAGGAATTCGAATGAACACAACAGCACCCCTAGCCATTTTGTTGCTCGCAGAGTAGACTCTAAGCCTGCAGCGCTGCTGCTGCTGCTGCTGCTGTTAATTTCCATGTCATACAAATACAGCGTGGAGCTCTGTGTCAGGAGCTTTACTGATGCTGTGAGAACCTTAAAGTCTACGAGCAAATGTTTTTCTTTTCTTATTTGGGAAAATTCATTAAAATGTCCAAATACCAAGTATTCTACCTTCACTCCTCTTACAAATCACTTCCAGACCTATCCAGAAAATTCGCTGCTACTGTGTATTTTTTCTAAAACTTGTTCACGGTGTTTTCTTAAGGTTTAATATGGGTGTGGCTAGGGGGGGGCGCGGGTAAGATTTAAGTCAGTTAAGTATCTCTATCGCTGATGCTAATGGACAGAGATGTAGGCAAGAGATACGAGTTGCCCGTATCCTCTATATATCTGTATGTAGATATAGATAGTCCCAAGCCTAGGTTGCGAAGATGCCCTTGTTATGGAACAAGAAGGGAGTACTCTATTCTGTTCTCACCCACCCAAAAGTTTTGGTGCAAAGGCGGCAGTAGAAACGGCCAACGTGGGAATCTCTCAAAATGGTTTCAACAGCATTCAGAGATGCCAGTGCCGTTTATACTGGCATGGCTCCGAGAGAGGTACCGTGAGCTGCCTGCTGCAAGGTCATTCCCCTGACTCACTGTCAGCGACCAGTTGGTTCAGGAACTCCCAATCCACATTTCTTACAACTGTGGCAGTGCTTGAGTCCTGAACCTGGAGGTGAGGCTTGAAAATTAGTGCTACTGCAGTAGTGGGCCACTGAGTCCAAAAGTGTAGATCCAAAAAATCCTGCATCTCTCAAGCGTTTTAAAATCCCTATCTATAATTTGTTTCTTGAGCTAACTACAAAAACTTTGCACTAGTTCCCTCATCCCCTTTTTCCCCAAGACTTCCTCTGGACTGCTGGGAATCAGGAGCGGCATGTATTTAAGGACTAGTCATCAACTTACACTGTGTTCCAGAAAAAAAAATATGAAAAAAGTGTCTGCATATATTTGCATTTCTGTTCCTGTAGTCGTTATCAGGTGGACTCCGCAGGCTGCTCTAAGTTCACCACCGTCTGTGAAGCTAGTGTTGTCTCCCATGAGCTTTCAGTTTCAGGTACCTCAGCCCAATAACTGCCTTGTCCCCTCCCAGGTTTCCACATTTTTCTCCGGTGTTCCTATTTGTCCATGTCACTAGTATTTTCAGTTGACTCAGGGCAACATCAGCCATGGGTATGTTAGGGCTGGCTCTAGTCTTCTCAGCTTCATAGGCAGCAGTGGAGTGGTTAATGCCTCAAGGATCTTGAGCAAAATAACTTATTTTGTCCCCATCTTTGCAATAACAAAGTTCAATTTGGGGGCATGTTATCTGGCTCCTTTCGAACAGAGAGGAACGTGGGGGCCAGTGCAGGCCAAGCACGGACACGAGTGGATCCTTCCTGCTAGCCTACCTACCTGTTTTGCTAGCCGACCTCCCCAAGCCTCCAGCCCTGGGCAGCTTCCTGCCTTGACCGTGCCTTAGCCGTTAGTATCATTATTCTCTAGTTTTCAAAGGGAGAGAACCTGGCTGCTAATCCTGATGCCAGTGACGACTCTTCGCCTACAGGGAGGCATATGTGATAGCTTGTCTGCTAAAAACTGAGCCAACACAGTGTGATTCAGACCTTAAGCTTTCCAAGGAAGAGAGCTATTTCTGAGTTAAGCACATCTCTTCAGCTCCCCACACAAACACTTTATCCAGTGCAAATGGTGCATAGTAGGTGTCCATCAGCAGCCACTGGTTTTGTATTTGGATATACAGCTCAAATGCTTCTTAAACATTGACGATGGCTCTCAAACATACAGTGAAGTTTCAGTGATAGACAGAATGACGGGAATCCTGGGAACAGGTACAAACCAAACAGCTCACGTGCTCAGGGGAGTCAGCCAGGAGTTTGGTCAATGCTTTTCTCCAGCTTTTTTGACAGGTCCTTGCTACTGTGGATAGTGTTAAGATATGGCAGGGTACTGAAGGCATGTTTTCAAATGTCTGGTTTAAGGGCAGGTTATACTTCAGTGAACATCTGGCAGTATTTGTTTCCTTATGCTCTTCCCTGGCACAGGACAGTCTTTTGTCTCTTAAATGACACAAAGAAAAATATGACTTCCCTTGACATTACCTAAAGTAGTGGGAACGGTAGTGTTGGGGGAACACCATGTTCCTGAACTGACTATACAAATCACAACAATAATCTCTCTGTGACTGCCTTCAAGAGCTGCAATCAATACTTTATATTCTAAGGTGATGCTTAGGTACAGAAGCTAGGAACACAAAATTACTTTTCTGGTTTCAGCTACTTTGGTGGATAATTTTTTTTAGCATAGTTAGTTTTGTAATGTGCTGTTCAGTCAAGCTGCGTATGGCTAAATTTGATGAGTTTTCAGCGCTGCAACTTCCTACTGCTCTTCCATGACCTGGGTCATGTAAGTGCGATGCTTTTCTTCCCCTGTGTAAGTTTGCCCAGTTTCACCTCATCGTTCCTTGTGAAATCTGAAATCCTCAATAGGATTCAGTGGTTCAGTAGTTCCTGTGCCCTCCAAACAGGCTGTGGTTTTGCCTAGGAACTCTCATGAAAGCAAAGGTGGAAGAAAACTGTATGACTCCAGGCAAGTCAAAGCAATTTCAGATGAGCAGACGGGAAGCGGAAGATTAGAAATTGTAGCCCTAGTATCTAGCACTCCTAGAATGGTCACCATGCTAAAACCTCTCCCTTCAGTTCAGAATAGCTTTGGGGCAAGCAATAGCAAATAGCAAGTAAGTGTTATATTTTACTTATCAGTCTGAAACAAAGTTCTGGATTTAAAAAAAACAGGTCTTGTGAATAAATCCTAATTATTTTAGTGATGTCGTGCTGTTATGAACTATCTCCAAGTTTCTCCAAAAGATCTGTAATCTGCAAATTAAAGGTCTCTTGCACTTTTTTTAGCCTACTTTGTTAGACCCAAGCACCACAGAAAACGTGGATCAGTACGGCAGAACCATAAAAAGAAGGCTGGTATGGCCCATCACATCACCCAGTGTGCCTGGGTCAATGCTAGTGTTGAACTATCTTGCCCTCAAAATGACATTCATTGCATCCAAACCACCAATACCTGTTTGCCAATGCTGACTGCTAGACCGTGGCTCAGCATTGTTTAGGAGAATCCTGGCTGGCACCAAACCGGGTGGGAAAGAGCTCTATCGAAACTCATCCAAAACTCCCCCAAAGCAGCAAGAGTTAACCACGCACTAGTGTGCCTTCAGTGAGGCCACCATGCAAAGAGAAAAGGCCAAGATGCACCTCTCAGACCTCATCACAAGCCAAATTTCAGCCATCACTGACACTGCCAATCACCTGGCCTGCGCTAAATTATCTGGAAAAGAGCTGCTTCTCCCTACGTTAAACAAATGAGCAAACAAAAACCTGGCCTTCCCCTCACCCCCAAACCCTTGAACAATTGGACCATTTTAAAAAAATGGGTTAGAATGATAGGCAGCTTGGTGACAGTTCAGCACAGTTAGACAAATGCTAGTGAGTGCTCTGACAGATTACCCTTAATAGGAATTGAAATTAGTGACTCAAATGTCAAGCAGGCCTGACTGTCCCATTGCTCAAATAGAGCTGAATGGGACAAAAGGCTCCACAGGCTTCTCCCCGCAGCGTGCCACACTCCGGTGTTCAGACTACTTTCGGGTTTTGGGGGTGGGGGGGCAGATAGCACAAGGGTTGCAGACCCAGAGCGCCTGGCTTTTAACTTTACTATTTATACTGCAATTGTAAGGCTACGATAGTAGGACTAATGGAATAGACTATGTTCACTCAGGAATGTGATCTGGAGTTTTTATTCTGGTCCTAATCAAGCAAAAAAAAAAAAAAAAAAAAAAAAAAAAAAAAAAAAAAAAACAAACTCCATTATGCTTTTTTAAACTCATGAGGGAAGTACATGTTTTTGCTGCCCATAATAGCAGCAGCATCTCTAGAGCCATCTTCTAGTCACAGTCATCAACTCCACTAAGCCATGCAGCATCTACCCTACCTTTACTCAGCCTAGGTCAGTGCTACTGCTGACACAGAAAGCGTTACACACTAATGACTGGCTGCAAGTTAGGGCACATTTGTCCATACCTGACCTACGCAACACCACACAGTAACAGAACTGCACAACAAACAGATGCAGTTACACGCTCCCCCGGGCTGAGGAAGCTTTTTTGAAACCTTAGAAGTTCACTCAATTCCCCTTACAGGTCACCACTTGTACTGTCACACCCCTCTGTCCTGCACCTGGCCATGGTCTGACTCATTCCTTGACTGTGGGGATGATGCATCGAGCTCAGATTTTCTGCATGTAAAATGGGAATATTTTCTCCAGGGGAGACCAGTCTCTGACGAACCATGAGTTTCACTCCGCGATTTGAAAATGGAGGAGAAAAATTACGATGCACACAGGGTCACGCAGAGATCTGTTTTGCTTACTGTGGAAGCCCAAGAACTGCCTTAATTTATAAGCTGTAGGTTGTGAAAAATCAGGTCTGTGACATCCCGGCTTGCCTTGTTCCTGCAGACTAGATTAAAGGTCTTAGGCTAGGGAGGAAGTTCCCTTTCACAGGGGAGGCAGGGATTTCTTCCCTTTTTGCCTTTGTCTCATGTAGAAGGTATAAAGCAGTGTGAAGCCTGTGCAAGGCTTTGAGATGTTCCTCTGAAAGAAGCTACAGAACAGTACTGCTACTAAAATGTGTCTGAAAAAAGGGGAAAAAAGCAGAATGATAATATTGTACTTTTTCTATTATTTATTGAAAACTCCACAACACTATAGCTGATAGTATTTGCTTGTCTCCACACATATGTGTGTATGTGCATGTCCTTATGTAGACATTCAACACACACCAGCAAACGTTTGAGACAAGCACTGGTTTCTTTTTCTGCGTGTGTGCATATTAATAGTTGAGTGCTGCATATCACAGCATCTTGAACTGCGCTCTTTTTTTCTCCTCCCCTCCGCATGCTGCCTGCCCAAGCATGCTGTTAGGTTTGGAAAGAACAGCATACACTGTCACAGACGTATCCTTCATAAAAGGTGTACCTGCAGTTTGGCAGAAAGGGCTGACACCTTCTGGCTGCTTGGAAGGAAGGGGAGCTTGTTAAGGCATAGGACAATCTTCAGGTAGCCTGGAGGAGGGGCAGCAGCATCTTAATTATGCTGAAGTGAAACCTGGTTTTATCAAGCTATACATAATCAATGACCAATCAAAATATTGGTCTTCAACTGCTGCATGATATTTCTGGAGAGGGAAGGGGAAGGTATGCATAGGTGTTCAGACTCAGTTCAGACTCTGGAAGTCTCACACCTCTACAGAAGCTCCCATTTTCAGCAGCACAAACATAAGTGACATTTCCACCAACTGTTTTTGAAAACCCTAATAAAGATTTCTTTTTACTGTTAAGGCACATGCTTGCTACTGAGACAAGAAAAAAAACAAAGCAACCCTCACTTTGAGCCTGTTTCTGAAAGATGCTGCTGTGGTACTTTATCTGTGCTGCACCTGACCTCTTGTCAGGAGTAACTCTCGGTCCAGCTTTTCAGTAGTAAATCTTCACGCTGATAATACAGGGTGCCTCATAAATAACTGTGCCAGCAAGACAGACACTGGGGAGGGAACCTGTTTTCCACTTGTCTTTCACCCTGTTGCCCCAGTTAATGGATTTAGAAACTACAATAAATATCCAGACACAGTAATCTAGTACAGTTCTTTCCCCTTCCTCCACCCCCCCTTCTTCAAAGGACATGCTCTTTTCTCCGAGCTTTTCCTCTGCTGTCTGTGGGTGTGCATTAGGATGTAGGCACTGAAGCAGATTCTTGGATCTGGTTACAAAACTAATGCAAAGAGTTGCCAAAAACCCAGGGCATCAATAAGTGAAACTCCCAACTCCACTTCTGCCGCACTTTATTCCATTTTACATCAGCTTCTGCACCAGCACAGGTTAGACACAGTGGCCGGGGTTTGATAGATCCTGAATTATGCATGTGTGTAGTCATTCACAGGCTTCAAGACACCCCATCTATTCCCGCTGTACTGAGACACCTACGCTGCGGGTTAACTGCCGTGGCTGTGCTGCACTACAGCACTGCTCAGACCTATTCCATTTCCAATAACCATCAGCCACTCATTTTCACACTCTCCTACTTCCTCGACAACTTTCGTTGGAACCATTTACAGTTAGATTTGCAAATGCTCCCTTTTTAGGTTTCGTTCTGACCCACACTCAAAGTAGTTTCCGTGCAATTTATTTTCATTGTCCCTACAGAATTTAAGACTTGTCTCACAAAAATCTGCAACTCCTCGCTTATGAAAAGCATGCTATTTACAGGCCGTGCAGTACAGCTGACAAAGGAAGTTCCAGCATGATAGTCACATTTCCTTTCCCTGTCACAAAAAGCGCCTGATCTGTCCTCTCTGATGATGCCGAGATCAGTAAGTGATGGAAAGTCAGAACACTCTCTACCTTGGACAGAATGAGGTTTATAGCCTGGTTCTATCTGCAATGGCATGAAAAAAGTGTTCTGTACAACAAAAACTCCCCCCCCCCCCCACAAAAAAAAAAAAAAACCCCCCCCCCCCCCCCCATCAGTAGCATACTCTGCACTATAAAGAAGTCAGACCTTTTTCGCTACTTGCTGGTAAGAGCTTCAGTATATTCCACCTGGCCATGAAAGGAAATTACAGTCATTGCCAGAGTGGTGGGTTTCTTCATTACATTATTTCGTTTCTCCTACATCAGCCTCAACTATTCACAAGATGCCAAAAAAAAAAGTGTCCAATAAAATACTATCCCGAAGTTCACTGTCTTACTTTCTAATAAAATTAAATAAATGAATTTTTCTCTAGGTACGGTGGAGATGAAGGATTTTCTCTCTCAGCCTGCAGCCATGCACTTGATGTGTCTTCCTCTGGAAGCTGGTTTCACATGGTGGCTTAGATTTTCCCACTTTGTATCTAGCACCATTTGAAATCAGTGTTCTAGGAGCAAGAATTACAGCGTGGGAGGAGATCAAGCAGCTGCTAACTTCACCGACAGCCTCTACTCCTTAAAACAGCACTTTTTCCAATGGTTATTTTTTTGCCAGCCATCCACTTTGTAACATCATCTGATTTCTAGACACTTATACAACCACTGTACCCACCCTCTCAAGCTAGGGCCACAACAGGAACAGCTTCCTTCAAATGTATTTCTACTTAATAAACAATGGATATTGAGTTAAAGTTGTCCAGAGTAAAATGATCCAAAAGTTGCATGAAAACCAACATAGTACTTCTTGCATCTTGACAGGCAGAGTACGTTTCCTTATACAATCACTAGGACCCTAACATTTTATTTACTAACTTAGATCAAATATATTTCCACTCTGTGCTTGGGGACTCTATCGCCAGAGAATTATCATTCCGTAGCTCCCAGAGACTTGCTCTGCAAACACACAAATTCCCTCCAACAATTTGATCTCAGCAGTTAAACGCAAAAGTGCCTTCAGCAATCATGATGATGTCACACTGGTGCACACAGAATCCACTCCTTTTTCTAGAGTTATTTTTAAGTTTATTGCTGGTAACTTCTAATAATGTTTCAGACGACTTCTATACCCTTGCATCCAAACCACTGAAATGAAGCTAAACTATTTTTGCTTGACCTCACTATTGTCAAACGTTATTATACACAGAAAAGACAATCGCTGTGTGGATGAAGCATTTGATCAGACCACTGAATAGTCGTCTTTAAAGAATGCGTAGCTGTCATCTACAAGAGGATTCTTCTCTGAGCCAGGAAAATGTCTCTTACACAGGCTGACCGATTTCTCTTGGTGTTCAGAGTCTCAGTTTTTGTCTAGCACCATTTGAAATCGGTTATGATGTAGGGGGAAAAGCAACAGTAATGGAAAAACTTCATTCCCCCGCCCCCCAAAGTCCTTATAAACAAACACCATCAAAAGCACGATCTTGGTTCACAAACACGTATGGTATGCTCTTCTGTTCTCTGACCTGAAGTTACACCTACAGGCCGACCATCCTGCACAAAAGGAGGACAGTCAGCATCACGTTCAACTAGGAGAGATGCTTAAAGAGAAAGCGAAGCATCTGTTCAAACACCTAACTAAGATTCTTCAACTCAAGCAAGCCAGGGCCCATGTGTGAGAGCACAGCCACCTAACCTTCTGACCAGTTATATTCCATGTGCTATTTGTTTGCCTTAACCTGTTATTTATTCAGATTTTTTTTCTTCTTTTAAATAAAATTGTGTGCTACTTGGTATTGGGCTCTGTCTCAGGTAGACAGATTACATGTTTCCCTGCTGGACAATATCTAATTGCTGCAAGTCTCTCATTTCAGTCCCCAGCTCCATTTTCACCACCCCATATGAACCATGCTCAAAAGTCAACATTTACACTGATTTTAAGTGTAACACTGAGAAGCCTACCAACCACTGACACTTAACACGACTTAACATTAAACTAGGTAATACTGTACCTATGTTTTATTACTCCCACTGGGAGAACATAGCTTGTTTTACCAGTAGATGGCAACACCATGTTTTTTATTACATCCAGCCTTTTTCTTAGCACGAACTTCATGTGTTCATGACTCTTAATTATCAGTTCCAGATTCTAAAGTGAAATAATTCATGTGGGACTGAGTTTTAGAAAAATGGTGCAGAATTCATGACAATTAGGACAAATTAATTCATAGTGTTTAAGTCAAATTGCCTAGTAGCTGCCTATCCCATCAATGCTCACTGCAATCCCAAAACTTCATAGATTGTAAAGCTGTGTAGTCTACATACTGTCACCATTTGCAGTCCACACCAACTGATTTTGAGTATCACAACCAGAAATTTAAAAAAAAAAGTGGCATATTAGTTATTTTTCTATTCCACCCTCTGAAAGGCTTCATTCTGTAAGCTGACTCCACACACTTCTTCGCAAAGAAAATTAAGTACATTTTGAGTGTGAACCTCATACAATTAAAAATAATCACATTCTACTTAACGTTTTACTTAAAAACGCCCAAGCTATATTCCCTAAGGATTACATCTGTCACACACGGGGCAAAAGTGCCAGAACACTCTCTGGGCTTTGCTCTTGACTTGGTGCTACATCAGAACAGCCACATGATAATCTACCTCTTCTCCATCAAGTTTTTACCAAGTTTTTCAGGAGTGAACACTGTAAGGTTTTGGAGGTTCTGGGAAATTCTCTGCACTTCCAAAAGAAAACCAAAAGGCTATGAGCCTGCTCAGCAAATTAAAACATTCTCTACACTACTACTAAGTAATTCTGTGCACAAACTGCAAACTTCGATCTCAACAGTTACCACCTAATGCAAGTTTGGTACATGAAATATCATCTTAAGAATAATGGGAAAATAGCTGCTTACCGCATGACGAATGAAAGACAAACACTTACTGCTAAATAATTTAACATTTTTATTTGTAATATTACAAGTCATCGCTTGTCTTTACATCTGGAAAAAAGTGTAAAAATAAGGCCATTTTTTACATTTGCTTTTTACAAAGCATTAAGTGCATTTCAGCATATTTTAAAACATTGAAGATGCCATAAATAATCAAGCTAGCTAGTGACCAACACACTCAATTCCCAGTATATTATCAGTGTTTACAAACAATTATCAAACTAGGTATCAGCTAAGCAATGAACAGCAAGTCATTCTGTGTAGCCAAAATCCCTTTTTAATAACCAGAGACTGTTATGAACTCTGACAATACAACTGCTGGGATCGTCCCAAAAAGCCCTATAAAGCCCTAAATAGTTCTATGTTATCCAAACAAGCTGTTCACGACAGTGGAGAGCAGTGCCAATCTACCGCAGACAAGCAAGAATAGTTTAAATGCTGCCTCAGCCATCTGAAGTGAGGCAATTTGTTTTCTGGGAAAATTGGTTCTTGTAAGCTGCCTGTATGTTGATAGCAAACTCAGAGATTCACAAAGCCAAAACCTGTCCTAATTAAGCTATTTCTAATTCCTTATTGAAGCCAAAAGCAAGTATGCATTTAAAGTAACAGCTATCAATGCACGTCCAAGTCAATTCATGGCAAATGCTGTGATAGGAGCTCCTGGAGTCAGAGTCTTGACAAACACTTCGTGAACCAAGCTGCTATCTAAAGAGAGACCACATCTACCACCACTGCCAGCACACCCATTCCTTCACTCCCACAACTAAGCTGGTTTGGTCTTCCTTTAACATGAAAAGAGAAGGGAGTCAGACAGGGAAAGGCTTCTGTTTCTCAACAGATACTGATGCTAAGTCTAGCATTAGAGCTAGATTTAGCATCATAGTCTGTATACAGAGATTTGAAATGCTGTATGTGGAATATATGATTTCAAGTAAAAAAAAAAAAAAAAGGAAGCTAGATCCATACAGCACCCCTTCTATCCTGAACAGCAACAAAATTATCTCCGAAACTGACATCAAGGCTCAAGAAAAATCAAAGGTCCTAAGGAACTCGTACTGTGCTCCTGATAGGAGATGGCTACCACCGATTCCTCAGCAGTTCCTTTAATTAGGTACCTTCTGTCACTAGGCCAACGAATTCAAAGGCAGGGGGTACCTTTGCTATAGAAACCTTCAGTTTTCCATTCTAAGAAATCCACTGTAGTCTTTCTGGGACTGTATTAAAGAGCCAGGAATATATATGGCTTTTTTCCTTCTTAAAGGCAATGGAAAAGCTATAAAACTCTGATTTAAAGGCACATTTTAATTAATTAGATATACAGAAACCAACTTCGACAAACAAAGAGGTAGTGTATATAAGATCTAAACTGTGATAGTTTCAAGAAGACATAGCCTTAAGTGGCACCAATCTCTTAAGGAAATTAATAATAAAACATTTCAGAATACAAGAGACAACATAATCATTTATACTGCCTCAACCGCAAAAATGAACGAGAAGCACATCTGGACTTTAGTGAGCAGAACTAATATTGGATAGTCTTCTGTAAGAAAATAGGTAGCACCGAAGGCAGCAGGCAGCAGCAGCTGGTACTACGACAGCGATACATCCAGTACTCCCGCCGACACAGACACTCCTTGCATGCTACAGGTATGTGCCTTTAAGACCATTTCACATACACAGAAAAGACAATGAGTGGCCCATAAGGAAAAGCAGATATATAGATATATATTCTTTTTACCCTATTAATGATCTCCTACTACAGTTAATCAGTAGTATAAGACATAGTACAAGATATTCATCTACAGAAACTCAATGCAAGTGCAATCATTTTCCATTTCTGACAGGTATATTCAACTGCAAACTCCCTCCCACCCCCAAAAAAGGTCATTCATGCTTTACAGATCTTATATTCGGCAGTACACGGAGTGCTGTCACGTTTCCTACAAACAAAAAAACAAGTCAAATCAGAGATTTTACATTTAAATAGTTTTTACATTTATTCTGAAAGCACATCCTTAGTTTTATCATTAAATCAACAGGTAAAGTCATGAAACTAAACCATTATTTGTCCTCTTCTTACTAAGCAACTGCTAGATTGAGGAGATTTTTGCTTCATTTCATCCACTAGACTGCCAAGAATGACCCACGGAGTAGAAGAGCATTTGATCCAAATGGATCATTTCAAGTGATGAACAGACCGTGCCTGAGCATTATCAAGAACTGAAGACAGACAGAACAGTTACAGGATTCCTAACTAATTTGGAGACTACATCAGAAGCATCCCTTATAATTTATTTTAAATACAGTATGTTGTTTAGTACATATTTTATAACCAGAAGCTGAGTATTAGTTTGTGAGAATTTTGATTTTGTAGTCCGCTAACAGCAAATTTACAATACTTAAACATATAAGGATTAAAATTCATAATTACATCCATACATACATGTATTTTCAAGTTCTTGAATAACTCCTGTTTTGCTTTGAAAAAAAGCCCCATACCAAACCTCTCCGCTATTACTCTAGGTCTCTAAGGAGTTCTAGACACCGTAAGAAAAACTCAGGTTAACAGTGTGTACACATACCAGACCATTAATTTCTCTTATCGTTGTCACATGCAAAAGGTAAGATTGGACATAAGAACTCGATTCCTTTTTTCCCCTCTCTCCAAAAATAAGCCCAACTAATCCAGAAAACTAATCCTATCTCAATTAGAAACATCATGCTTCAGAGGTACAGATGATATTTCTTAATTCATACATTATTTTGGAAGAAACTCCAAGCTTGATTTTCATATATGCCATCTCAAACTTATCAAAAATACTGAAAAGTCACTTGTTCTTTAAAAGTAAATAAAATCAAGACTACGCATTTGAAAAGACCTTTGCAGTGCTAGAATAAGAGACATAACGTTTCAACCATTACCTTCTCAGAATTTGTGCAATGGAGAAAAACGACACAAATGAAGATACTTGTTTACAAAAGTGTTTGTAGTGCAAACTCTAACTGTTAAGGTAGTCATGACAAAATACTGACAAGGAACAGTCAAACTAAGCTGTCCTGTCTTAAATCTGTTCTGTTGTAACAAGGTTTGTAGAGTCAGGTTTTTTAAAGAGCTAATTTGACCCTACACAAGTGCAGGAGCAACCGTAACTATCAACAAATGCATCTGACTACTGGACTAAGCGCTAGTTTAAAATATAAGGAGGAAATGAGCTATATTTTGACACTTTTTAGGGCTACAGAACTCTGAATTCGAAAAAGAAATCACCTTTTTATAAAAAGGTTTAAAAAGAAGACCTTGTTTGCACCTTCATTTATTTATTTTTTCTTCTAGAAAGCTGAAAACGCAGATGAATCAGTAATTCTGAGAGATGGAATCTGGTTTTCGCTGAAGGGATGCACACTACCTTCATAATTCTAGTGTCCATGTAATGCAGCAAAGGTGGTTTCCAGCCCCAACGGTCTTCTAATTATAGGGAATTATACTATTAGCTAACAAAAGTAACACACCACTGGAATCCACTTCACATCACTGAAACAGGTGCAAACATTCTACTGAGTATGCGTGCAGTTTCTATCTTACAGAAAAATACATTACTCATTCTTTAAAGACAACCCAAAACTAAGGTATGTGATATGCAATCACCGGAAGCTATCATTTACGACACTGAATGGTAATTCTTTATGTAATATATCCTATTCTCCCAAAATGAATGAATGGTTATTACAGTCTTTCCTACAGGAAACTGAGGTTCAGAGCTAGCTAGATTCCACACTTCTGAAATTCTAAGTAAACCATAATAAAAAAAGACACTTAAGCTTCATTGCAAAAGTCCAAATTAAGTGGAAAGTGTATACCTTTTTAAGATTCAATTAATTCATTTGTGCAGTTTCTTCCATCTCAGCTGGTACATTAGTTTTTAAAATACATGCTTCCTTGCAACTCTCATCAACTGTATACGAGCTGAACAGCAGAAGGGGAAAAAGGTCTAATTGAATGTCCTATAAAACTGGCAGATTAAACACACAAGAAAGAGAGGGCAAGAAAAGATTTTTGCTGTAATTTGAAGACTACAACTCAGCAAGTATGAGGTACTGGAAGCACAACAGTTCACAAAGGCTCAGCTACATCAGGAACCCAGAAAACTAAATAGGGAGATCTAGGCCTTAATAAAAGGAGATTAGATCAGGCTTTTCAGACAAGAAAGAGGTTTAACAGTCAGATGTTCGCAGCAAGGAAGCTTAAGGAAAGCACTGGGTGCAGTAAGACTTTTCACACTGTAAAACTTTCAGGAATGTAACATTCTTTAATTTTTGATGATGTTGCTTTAGATCCCCCCTCCTTTCTACACCCTGAGAAGTCTCTCCACAGCTGAAGGCCGAAAGTGCTGCCCTAATACTATTAACCCCCACGTACTCTTATTTGGACCATCCAGACTGCAGATCATCCAAGTCATGGATGAAAAGCAATTGCTCAAAAGCACTGAATTACTTAGCAGCACACAGGTACACAGCCACTCTGCTTACAGGGCCACTCTGGCCCTTGTAACAATACTGTACTGCCTCTGTGGAAGATACTAAGGCTAAAACCTCACTGGATATAAGCTAGCTTCAGGGTTCTCCCAAACAGTACTGTGTGTACTTCATTACAAATATGAACTGCAGGAATATTTCCTCTGGTTTGCTTTATTTATAGCACCCCTTCCTTTGCTTCATGTACCCCAGATAAATTCCAACAGATTTTGTTAAAAGGTAAGTCAGTTTTGATGAGATGCTTATCATAACATTCTATGTGTTCCACCTAACTTGCTCTGAATTTTCAGTATTTTGCATGTTACAAACTATTTCTCCAACAAAACAGGCTTTTTTCAAGATAAAATAAGACATCACTGCAAGAAGCAATGCACAAAGAGGCATTTAAATCTCCTGCCACCCCTCCATGAAAAGGCATACACAACAATCAGTTGTTTTGAAGATAAAGTTCAAAAGGCCCTATATATCTCATTAAAAACAGAAGAACACTACTACTTAGGCATCTAATATTCTACAGTTGATTTTGCAAGTCTTTAACATAGGGACACCAATCATTGCTGCTGCAGGAGAAAAAAACTGAAGTGGATCCACACATTAAACATTCGAGTAGCAAAGCTATTTGCTTTTTCAAACAGCATAGGAGCACCGGTTTAGGTCAAATTTTTTTCACATTTTCCTTGTAACTAAGCCCGTATTATTTTATTCAAGGTGCTTCTGGTCCAAAACACAAAAACACAGTGGTTCTCCAGTTAACCTCCACTATCATTGGTACGTCTTATGTAGAAGAGAGGAAGCAGCTCTTTAGTCCACCTCCAAGGCTTCCAGTTCACGTAAACCACTCTGACTCTTAGAGCCTGTGAGACCTAGTGATGCCAGAGGGTAACCAAGCAATAAAATAACACAAGCCCACACAAGCCATACTACCACTGGTTTTAAGAGGTAAACTGACATGTTTTAGAGCAGATGCAAACAGTACTTTCTTCGGCAAGTGTACCTATGCTAAATACAAGCTTAAGAACAGGGTTTTTCCTTCCTTGAAATTAGTGCAAGTGTTAATTAGCAGCTTATCTGAATAGCAGATACAAAAACAAAGTCAAATACATTGTTAGGCACTTTAGCTTTCTAGCAGCTGCTGTGATAAGCTCACATATAATCATCAGGCATTTGAAAAAGAAAGGGCAGACAAAGCTCAAGAAACTTAACATACACGTTAGCACTGCTTTTGCTCAGTCATTTAGAAATTTGCAATAATAATAATAAAAAAGTAGGCTTACTCACCCATTTTGTGAAAAGAATTTCTTATAGACCCAGAAGGCTGCCAGGAACACCACAATTGCCACAATCACTTTAGGAAGAATTAAAAAAAGCCTTAGAGTGATAAAGATCATCTCTAGCTCACAAAAAAGCCTCAAAAATTTTTAGCAGAAATAGCACTGTCTTCATCCACAGTCCTATACAACACCCCCCCAAAAAAAACCCACCTCTTAAAATCTGCATGGCTTATTTCACAAATACGTATTTGATGCTTTACTCAAGACTCTGCAAGATAGTTCAGCTCAAGAACAGTGACCACCAAGATGGCAAAACCCCACCAGCTCAGTAACATTAAAACAGAGATGTCAACATCCTAACATTACTTTTTACAAGTTTATGAGAAAGTGGTAGGCTTACAAAAGTGGGTAACAAATGCAAGGACAGAAGACGGACTAAGCACTTCTGTTCACTGGCACAGTTATTCATTCAGACTTCCAGTAAACCCAAGCTCCAAAGAGTTTATGAAAGTGACTAAGTTGTGCCTTTGAAATCTGATGCCTCACATACATGAAAAAATACACATTTTACATGAAATTAATCTGTAATTGCTAAGTAATCTTTTCTTGAACTATGCAGCTTTAGGAGTAGACAAGCATTTTTAAAGCAACCAAAACTCCAAAATCATGTTCTATTACTGCAGTCACAGGTGATGACCACATAAAAAAATACAATCCACATTCTATCTTGTTCAGGTTTTACAAGATACTTACCACAGATGATGGCCGTAATATACGCACCTAAAAACAGAGTGAATCAGTATCACAAGAGGAACACATCTGCTTCTTATTCAAATATTATTATAAAAATATTCACAAAAGTTATTCCAAATAGATCAAACACTTCTGTCAACACAATCCTTGCAGCAGGATAGTTTATATCATAAGTTATTTAACTTAAAATATTCCTATTTTTAAGTGGATTTTACCAAACCCTATTTTTCTTATGTCAAAATAAAGAAGGAAGTTTGCATTAAATGATTTCTCCTGAATGCAGAAAAATGTCCCCAAGAAGTAAAGCTTCTGTTACAGGTATTTTCATTCTAATGGAAATCTTGCAGTTCATACTTACTTAACTGGCAAGTTGGCACTGCAGGACTCCATCGGTTTTCTCCAATATACTGAATACGAGCGTCACCATGTAACGTGTAGCCTGCATAACATTCAATCGTAATAAAATCCCCGACAGAATATGAAGGTTTTTGTCCATCAATTACTCTACCATAATTTATGTCTGGAGTGAAACCGGAACTTTTAGGCCCACCTGGAAAGGGGCAGGGAGGGAAAGAAAAGGGAATAAAGTCCAAGAACAGAGCTGGTACATGAAGCAGATTTAAGAAATTGCCATCAGAAAGTCCCTACGTTTGTGTAAATATCAGAAGCTCAGTCAATCCTTAAGACTTTTTATATGCAAAGGCTTCCCGCTTCCTAGAGGCTGCAGATACTTCTGCTGATGGACATGCTTCAGACACATTAACAGAAATACACGTCTCAGCTTCATTAGGACAGTTACATCAAAGTAATGACAACCTCTGTTTATATTATAACAAGTGATCACATGGTGCAAAGTGAGGTGAGAATAAAGTCTGCCATCATCAAAGGAAGAATCTTCAGAAAGCACTCCCAGAACAGATCTGTCACACTGGCTTGTGAACTTTACCAATTTCCATAAACAAAACTGAGAGTGAACAAGAACGACTCCAGCTCTGCCGAAAACTTTCCTCAGTTGCTGAAACTCCACCCCATGACACTCACAACCCTACTAACATAATCTGTTGGTGCCCTGCTGACAGACCGCTGACTTTCAAGGTCTACACATTACTACGTCAGATGTTTGGAACTTGTCACCCTGCCCTTGATTTTACCAATTATGAGTTTTACTCACATGTACAGTTTTGTAAAGAACTCCATGTATTCTGTCCTTGACAAGTTACTGTCACCTCTTCAGCACCATCAGGAAAAGTACAGTGAGCATCGCACTTTATCTGAACAGACTCTCCTCCTTCATATACAGATTTCACTGGAATCACTCCTCCGTGTGCGATCTTTGGGGCACCACATACATCTTCAGTAACCAATACATGAATTTAAAAGTAAGTTTAGTGATAATAAACTTTAAATATTTCATAATTCATTAACTCACTCCACAAATATACATCGCCTTTGTATGAGAAAAATAGATCAGCATATCTGACCAGTTTAACTTTACCACAGTTTTAAGTATAAATGTTTCCTTTAGAAGACTTAAAAGAAACATCACTGTAGGTATTCATTAAGGTACTATGATCTTATGATGTGGTAGCTAAGAAATTCCTATTTGTTGGTTAATTATTTTTGCAAGCTCTAGAATAATTTCCAGGTGCCTTATCAGACTCATTCATTATGGAACACTCAAACATACTCTTTGCAGAAGTGGTTCTCATTCTCGGGAGCTCATTATTAGAGCATGTAAAAAATTCTCTCACCGTACTCTACAACATTCCTTCTCCCTCTAGCACAAACAGGAAGGAGAAAGGTTACAGAAAGACCTCTGCAATGTCCCCAGCTCTGCAAATTAGTCCCGACTTAATAATTTGCCTGGTCAAAATCTAACAACATACTACACACCATACAAGATGCCTGGAAAGTAAGAGTTGAAGAGCTGCATAAGAGAACACAGACACGTAATGATTTGGATTACTCTAGAAGGACACTATAGGCTTCCTCATTGTGCATACCCCGAGTTCTTTCTATCAGAATTCAGAAGCACATCTTTTCTTCTGTATTTACACGTGAAATCACTAGAACACACACTGTGATGCTATTACGATGCAGTACCATCACAGTATGTCCACGCCACAACTTCTATACGCATGTCTGTAACTCAACTCGCTCTCATCTGAAAACTCTTTGGAGTTAGGAGTCACTCGAACACCTAAAATGGTTGCCCATCGATGAGGCTCCACGTCAACCCCCTTAGCTTCTGATTTCCAACTAGTGTTATGATTTTAAATTTTAGCTAAGACAGACTTACACATTCTCAATATACAAGAGAAGTTGGATTCTTATTTAAAGGCTTACTTTTTTCACAAGTTGGTTTTGGAGACCAGGTGTTATCTTCTCCACAAGTAATTATCTCCGGTCCGATCATGGAATAGCCTGGATCACACTCAAACACGACTGAGTCCTTATAGTTATAGGAAGGTCCAAATCCAGTTTTTTTTTTTCCATTTTCAATTTTTGGGTTATCACATTTGACCACTGAAACAGGTAAGAGAAAAACAGCTCTGAAACAGTTGTTGACAGTATCTTTGCAACAGACACAGCATCCTTTTACTACTTGTAAGTTTCCTTATCTAATTCCTCAAATTGTTTTGGAGGGGCTTTGTGAAAAGGTTATTCTCCTGAAGGTGGAGAAGGTCCTTGTTTTCAGCTGTTGAGTTGTAACAGTACACAGTCAAGTAAGATGTTGTAATAATTCATATAATCACATTCCACTTCCAAAAGACATACTCCTGTACAGTGGCAGAACTTCAGAAAACAAAGTGATATTGATTAGGGTTTAAACAACAACGTGCAAGCATCTGGTATTCCTCCCTACACCTGCAAAGCAAGACTTTGTGCTTGCTGCGCTTTGCATTTATTTCTGCACTTGCACAGTAGCTGTGTTTAGAAAAAGAGTTCTTCCTTACCTTTTTACTATTCATAATCTAGCTTCCACATTCTTACTCTTTACACAATTTTTCTTCAGCTACCTGGGCTTTATGGTCTCTTAGTTCCTTCACTTTGTCCTTGTCACTTCTACCAACAGCATGCTCATACGCATATTTTTAAAGTTTTAACTTAAATTTTAGTCCTATTCTGTGTCATAATCAATCAATATCCATAATGCAGTTGATCTGATCTCCACTGGAACTATATCAAATTTAGTTCCAGAAGATCTGTTTCTTTTCTATAGGGAAGTCCATTCCCCCACCCCACCCCTTCCAAAAAAGGGACAGATAGAGAAGTTTTGGAGTCACACAGGCTATAATAAAGAAGTATATTAAAAATCCCAACAACCTCTACATTGTGGAGGTGATTCACTCCAAACTCCATTTGACTGTGCATCATATGTGCAGAAAATAGTATCTGGGCCAATCAGCGAGAAGGGATCCGCGCCTTTTGGTACACGATCACACGTATAGGTCACTGCTGTTTGATAAACATAGCTAGCTGCTTCAGTGTAGTGCCCGTTGGCTATGCGTGGAGGTGGTTCACAAGGAATTCCTAGAAATAAATCACACAAATTAGCCGACAGAATTTTGCTGTTAACCTTGTTCATCTCAGAAATAGCGAGCCTTGATTTTCAAGTAATTTCATTTAAAATCTGACATATAGCTATTTCTAAGACAAGCTACAGTTATAACCGAGAGTTACTGATGGTCATTTATTACAGGGAGTCTCAATTTCAAGAAGAGGTTGACTTAAACTAATATGAGCTAATTACCACAATAATTGATGTTTTTCAGTAGTCATTCCTAAGGCACAGTAGTTCCAAAAAAATAAAATTGGTCTTGTTTTACCATCATTTCTTATACTGTAAAGTTTATGGCACAGATGTTTTTAAATGAACTACCACCATCCGAATATAAACTTAAACACGGTAGTAATTTACTTACTTTCACAGAAAGGAAGATCTCTATTCCAGTCAACACCTTTATTCTTAATTACGCAGGAAATTTCATCAGTTCCACGTAATCTGAATCTAGACAGGTAGAAATTTTTTAAGAGGTGAAATTTAAGAAGTCTCTCATTTCTCCAACAAGCACCTAGAAACTTTGTTTATATAGTTCTGTTCTGTGATTATGGGGACATAATATACCAAGTTTTTGTTGTAATAAGAATGGAATCTTAATTTTTTATTTTATTTTGCTAACAGTCTCAACTTTGAAAACAAAAGAGAAGCAAATGAGACATCACTAAAGGAACCGATGGAAGTCTCACCATTTTAAGAAGTGTGTACCCTCTAATACTAATGCCCTAAAGTTACTAATACTAAAGAAACAATCTGTTAAAAGGAAAGGGAGGAAAAAACCTTGCAAGAGGTTACTGCTTTTGACTTAATTGCTATACACAGACAAGTGGGCCATTATTCAATATAATAATGAAGGGTGATGAATATATATATTTATTCCCTCTGTCACAGGAGCATTAAACAAAGTCATTAGATGTAAAACTCTAGTTTTCACTCTGCAGAATCTCACTAAAAAGCTTAAGCCTTGGCTGATGCAAACAGCAAGTTAAAACCAGAGAATCAAATCAGGTTTAACTGTAATTTCATTTGCTCCAGGTAGAATTCAGGAGACATTTCAAGCCAGGACTGGAATGGAACCTGCATAAGAAAATTTGAGTTTGGTTCAAATCTGGTCTAAACAGAAAAAAAAGAAAAAGGATTCATTAACTTCACCAAATACTTACCCTCCTTCACAAGAAAAAGTAGCTTTTGAACCGAATGTAAGATCTGCCACGTTAACAAAACCATGTTCTAATTCTCCTGGATGGCTACATTTTCTCTCTAGGGGGAGTGGGAAAGAAAAAAAATTAAAATCTACATCTTTATAGTTATATACAAAGACTAAGTCTTTGGCATATACTGCTCTTACCGTCATCAGCGTTTTTCAAGCTTCGTTTCAAATATTACAGAATACTAATTCTCACTTGAAAAACAACTAAAATTGTTAAATACCAAAGGGAAAAAGCAAAAGAGCTCACGCACACATTACCTGTACAGAACTGCTCTGTGAGTGACCACTGTAAGTCTTCACCACATGTACGAGTTAATGATTTTCCGGGGATTCCTATATACCCTGGCCGGCAGACATACGACACCGTGGTTCCAACAGGAAAGCTTTCCATTTTGCTGAAACTCTCCTTGAGCTCTGCATACTGCAGCCTATCTGGAGGCATACACACGCCTGTCGGAGTAAGATGCAGGAAAAAGCAATAGACAATCTTGTCAACAAGAAGAGATACAAGTTGAGGCATAACGGTATAGAAGCCAGCCTAATTCAGTAGGTTTTAAGGACTCAGCGGTAAATCAAAGAGGTGACATTCTTAAGAGCCAGAGCTATCTGCATATTTAACTAAGTTTCAATTTTTTAATTTATATTTTAATTGCATCCAATGTCCAACTCTACACTAGTACAGGTTACTTATTCATTTGTTTTCTCAATTTCTTCTTTAGCATTCCAGCCAGACAACGCATTTCCTTCCAGTTCATATTTTTTGTCCGTTTGTCTTATTCTTATAGTTAAATACATGACTTAATTCACTGTATACCCATCTGCAGTAAAATGCCTATTTAGCTTGCTGCAGGAATAACAAACCAACCAACCATATTCGCATATTAATTTCCTTTCCTAAGGCAAAAGGCCAGGCAGATCATAAAGTGGAGTTTAAAACCAGCTACACAATCCAACAGAGACCTACAGACCCAGGGACGTTTTGAGGTGCGGTCAATGCTGAAGACGTAAAACTCCTCCATGCTAGAGGACTCAGAAAAACACGTTCAAGACCTTGCAACCCAGACACAAATGTCAGATCTGCCCAGTCTTTGCAAGACTCACACGCGACAGAGACCATCACCTCTTTCACGATACCTATTAATTTCCTTTCCAACCTGTTTATATTATTGTTTAGAGATTTACCAAACCATAGAAGAAATTTAAACCTCAAACCCAGGCTCAGAACCAGCATCCACTAGCACCAAAGCCAGCACGCCTATTTTTGCAACACAATCTTTCTTTCACATTTTCGCCCCAAACCCCACCGAAGCCGCCCGGAAAGCTCGCCGTTTCCGCCACCACCTAAAGCCGTTTCCTTCCCCCTCGCCGCCGCCTCCCCGAGCGGCCCAGCAGGCCCCGGGAGG